CTGAACACAGCACCTTGAGCTTAGAGACCACGAGCTGCCGACAGGAAGCCAGATGGCGACTGGCGCCCTCTACAACGAAGATTGAACAAACATCTTGGCTGGTCCCCTTCCCCAAGTCCCCAACACTGTTCCCCTCCCCCAATTCTCCAATAAAATCTTTAAAAAAAAGAAAAGAAAAAAAAGGGCCGTTTGAGTGGCTCAGTTGGTTAAGAGCACGGGCTCTGAGCAACAGGGTCACTGTTTCGATTCCCACGTGGGCCAACTCGGATGACTCAGTGGTTAGAGCTTGCACTCTTAGCAACAAGGTTTCCGGTTTGACTCCCGCATGGGATGGTGGGCTATGCCCACCCTCAACTAAGATTGAACACGGCACCTTGAGCTGAGTGGCCCGTGAGCTGCTGCTGGGAGGCCGGATAGCGACTGGACTTGGAGCTGAGCTAGCTGCGCCCTCCACAACTAAGACTGAAGGACAATAACTTGGCTGTTCCCCTTCCCCAATTTCCCAATAAAATTTAAACAAAAAAAAGAAAGAAGGGAAGGAAGAAGTGTTGGTGAAGATGTGGAAAAATTGGAACCCTTGTGCACTACTGGTGGGAAAATAAAATGGTACAGCTACTGTGGGAAACTGTGGCAGTTCCTCAAAACATTAAAAATAGAATTACCATGTGATCCAGCAATTCCACTTCTGGGTATTTATCCAAAAAAGTTAAAAGCAGGATCTCGAAGAGATTTACACAACGTATGTTCAGAGCAGCACTATTCAAAATAGTCAAAAGGTAGAACTCAAGTGTCCATCAATGGATGAATGGATACACAAAATGTGATATATACATACAATGAAATATTGTCTTAAAAAGGAAGAAATTCTGACATATGCTGTAACATGGATAAACCTTAAGGACACTGTGCTAAATGAAATAATCCAGTCACAAAAGACATACTGTGTGATTTCACGTAAAGGACGTATCTAGAAACAAAGTAGAATGGCGGTTGCTAGAGGAAAAGGAGGTGGGTGTTGTTTAATGGGAACAGAGTTTCAGTTCTGCAAGATGAAAAACGTTCCAGAGATTGTTTGCACAATGTGAATACATACTTAACACAACTGAACTGTACACTTAAAAATGGTTAAGATAATGCATTTTATGTTATGCATTTTTTACCACAATAAAAAATAACAAAAACAAAAAAAATTAAGGCAGGCAAGAAGTAAAAAGCATAGTTAGAAGGTAGGGCAAACTTCCAGTTTCCAATCCAGTATGTAAGGAGCTTACAAGTCATCACTTTGTCCTAACAGGTAAAAACCTGAAAAAAAATGAAATCAACAAGTAGTCTTAGATCCATCAGAGAACTAAGGTCACAGAGAAAACTGCTCCCCCCAACCCACATTAGACAAGCAGATATAGAAAATCATAATTTACCACTAAAAAATAGTTTCATTGTTATGCTAAGAAATGAAAGAAAATGGAACTCCATATAATGCTCAATTAAAGCCATAAAAGCAAAGTAGGATGAAAATAGGAACAAAAAACAAAGGTAACAAAACAGTAATAAATATGGTAAATATTAATCCAACTATATAATCACTTTAAACATCAATAGTCAAAATATACCAATGAAAAGACAGAGATTGTCAGAATGGATCAAAAATCAAGACCCAACTATATGTTGTCTGCAAATCCCATTTTAAATTTTAATCTATAGATTAAAAAGTAAAGGAATGGAGCAAGCTATACCAT